CTAAAACAAAAAATAAGATATTTATTTTTTAAAAATCTAAAACATAAAATAAAATATATTTTGGTAACCTAAAGCATGCTATTTTGACAATCAAAAACAGAATAAAATATTTGATTGTGATAATCTAAATCTAAAGTATAATAAAATAAATTACTTCATCTTTCAGAGGATGAGTCCATACTATCTTGACGAAGCCTGTAGCAGAATACACAGAAGTTGCCAATGTCTATTCTGTTAAGTCGACAAACATACGCAGATTGAGGAGCTGCTTCTTGCAAATATTATGATTTCTTGTGCCTGATGTAACTCATATTACGAAGAATTGTATTCCATGTACATTTGGAATAGAGTAATTTTAAATAAAACGCTATTTTAAATAATATTTCTAACAATTTTATATTTATACAATAAATAGCTTGTAAAATATCTGTTTGGTTAAGCCACCGAAAGTGCATTTAAATGGAATGAATAATTTTCAAGTGTGAATAAAGTATTAAAAAGTATAATAGTTTATGTTTTACACGATACAGTTTGTATTTTTTAAAAAACACTGTTACTTAAAGGCACTCTATACAGTTCCTTTATCTTATTCAGATTATCACTATCCTTTTTCTTCAATTAAATGAAACAAGCGACGTTTTTTTCGTGACGTCAGAATAGTACCATTATCATTTTTGTTTAATGGAAAAACAACATAATAGTTCGTACGTATCGTGTTAACAATTTTCGTAATTGCAAAAAGTTCGCAGGAGTTTCTCTGTCTCCAAGGCAGTCCGAAACAATTTGTTTTACCCCAAACCGTCAGCTCTCCCCGTTCCATTTAACGAACAAAAATTATATCGATATCTGTCACGGTTTCTGAGAAAACAACTTGCAACACTTTATGTGACTCACGCTTTATATCTACCAGGTGTCCAATTTCTCTCTGCCGAACAATACCAGTATGTTTTACAAATGGAAACAAGAAAAATATCAGTTAATCATCCAAGCTATTTTCGCGAGAAATAACGATAATAGTTTTGGCGTTCATTCTATTCGATGTAGAAACGAATAAGCTTATTTTGGTTGCAATCTTAAATGTTTACGAATTCCTTATCGTTCTCCTACATTTCAATGAAAACATGTCATACAAATTCTTCGCATTGATTCCTGGCGCGTGTTATTTCTTACTCAATCAATCTTTTTTCTTTATGCCTATACTAATCGACGAAGTGAATAAACACGGTTATCAGAATGTGGATTAGATAAGTGTCGCTAATTTGTTCCTGTACTGTATCGAATGGAAACGAGTTCATTGTTACTTCGTATTATTCTTATAGTGCCTTAATCAAAAATTTATCAGCCCATGTTTATACGATATTTTTTCTTATTTTGCAGACTTTATAAATTCGTAAATACGTTAACGGCAATAAAGTCGAACGAAGTGGTTTATTATAAACTGTAATGAAGCGGCTTATTAAAAATTGTAATAAAGCGGTTTATTAGAAAATTGTAATAAAGGGGTATACTACAAATTGTAATAAAATGGTTTATTACAAATTGTAATGAAATGGTTCACTACAAATCTTAATAAAATGGTTTACTAAAAATTGTAATAAAATGGTTTAGTACAAATAGTAATAAAATGGTTCACTACAAATCTTAATAAAATGGTTTACTAAAAATTGTAATAAAATGGTTTAGTACAAATAGTAATAAAATGGTTCACTACAAATCTTAATAAAATGGTTTACTAAAAATTGTAATAAAATGGTTTAGTACAAATAGTAATAAAATGGTTCACTACAAATCTTAATAAAATGGTTTACTAAAAATTGTAATAAAATGGTTCACTACTAATTGTAATAAAATGATTTAGTACAAATTGTAATAAAATGGTTCACTACAAATCTTAATAAAATGGTTTACTAAAAATTGTAATAAAATGGTTCACTACTAATTGTAATAAAATGGTTTAGTACAAATTGTAACGAAATGGTTTGTTACGAAGTCGCAAGTGGAAGTTTGGTGCAAATTGTACTAATTCTACTATTGTGCTAGAACTAACAGATCTCTGTAAAAGCCTACAGAAAACTTCGCGGCAAGAGCATTTTTAGGAAAATTAACCGACATTCATCGTCCGCTGCAAATATAGGAGCGTGCATACGTAAACATGCATAATATTCGTTAACGATCGAGGTAGGTGCGAGTTTAACCACCGAAAGAAAATATATTTAACGTTCTCCAATGAAAACTCAGCCTTATACTATTGGATTTTTGAATTCCTGTTCATTGGAATATTGCAATTAAATACAAAATGAACGAGACTCGTGTAGTACAAGCTGATAGCAAGTGGAAGTAATGGGAAGCAAATTGTGACGATGCCAGTGTTTATAAAAACGAAACACGTGCGGATGCAATCTACGTACACATAAATCTCTTGGGCTAAAACTTGCATTTGCAATTAGTTCACGCGTACCCAACGGATTTTCTTTTATCTCAAAGACAAAGCTTTGCGTACGAACCTTTATTCTACAGTTGTGTGCATACATTTTTGCTTAAGCTTATATTCAAAAAATGGAAAACAGAAAATAGGAAATAAAAAAAGGAAAATAGAAAATAGATAAGCAATATTAAACCCTAATTTCAATAATTTTCAGGGATTCTTATAATTTGTTTATTCCTGTTATTTTCAATCACCTTCTCTTATTGGTGATGAATCGAAATTCATCTATTTTCCCTGTTATTTTCTAGACTTCCGGTATTCTCAAATGAGGCATTGGGTGCAGTTTAGATGTGGAATCGAAAAAGACAAATGAAAGGCTTATTTATTGATTTTATATGACATAATTTAAACGAACGAAGTTTTCTAATGTAATGAAATATTTTTATCACTTGACAATAAATTACGGTTGAAATGCAGTCAATTGAAATGACAACAGTCGTTAAATATCGCAAAATGCAGAAACAGATTTCAGATGTTTTCGCGTGGAGAATTATTCCTATTGAGAAATGAAGTAAAATGAAAATAAAAAAGTTCGTATTTAGTTTTCATGAGGAATTTCCATTTCTTACAATGGAAAAGGATAGTACATGTGAAACGGTGTATGCATTGTTAACGATTTGTTAATATTACTGTACTTAAACGCATTAATCATTATCCTCGTTTGTAATTTTATTTGAAGGCAAGAACTATTTGCACCCTTTTTTCTATTTGTACGAATACTTATAAAATATCCTCAACAACACGCAGAAAATGTATTGTTTATTCTTTCGACACAAGTCATTAAATAAGTGTCTTGTTTTTCTTTGTCACTTAAATTATACAAACTTCGTAATTGATCTTCCAGGATGTTTCTGAAAAATTGTTCGGGGCATTTTTTGAAGTAACATTTACCGATGCACTTAAAATATTTTCCACACCAAATAATCAAAATATAGTTTAATAATACGATCGTAGTAGCACGCTTTATTTGTTTCGATGACAACCCGAGACAAATGCAATATGGACCGTTTATTTTGAAAGTGGTGCAAGTCCACTTTCTTTCGTTTCGATAAAATTGGATGTTAGCAGATCTGACAATTAAGAAATGTAGGTTAATTACGTGAAGTCTGGGAATGTTTGTACTAATTTATCAATATGTAATTTGATT